AAATATGGCGGATAAACAAAGCAGTTTCCCAGAACTCAACGCGGCGTTACGTCACATTCTCATTCTTTATAGGAGAGTATGTTCATTATTTTCAGGGAGGCTCAAGATGGCGGAGTGAGTAGTCGTATGTTTGATTCAAAAAGAAAACTAAGACTAGTGAAGGAAATGAACCGTCTCTGAGTGAATTGCAAGAAAACATCATTCGGATTCTGACTACGAAAATTGATGAGAGAGCTGATCAAACGGACATGGCAGTTAAGCAAAATACTCTTCAAATCGAAGGTATCAAGAAATCACTCGATAGGACAATGGGGGCCTGGAGGTATTAAATTATGATACCCTAAACAATGTATTTAAAATTAATTGGATTACACAGTACTTAAAAAATAAAGATAATATGTGGAACACATTCCCAAACTTTTTGTTTAAGTCAGTCGGTGGTCTTGAATTTTTGTTAAAATGCAATTATTGTATTGACAAAATTCCAGTAAAACTTGCAAGATTTCATCAACAAGCTCTCATGGCTTGGACATTGGCCTTTAAACATAACTTTTCCCCTAGAAAATATTATATCTGGAATAACAGAGATATTTTATATAAACCTAAATCACTTTTTTTTTAATATATGGTTTGAAAATAATATTTTATTGGTTAGTCAGTTGATGAATAGTGATGGAGTTTTATTATCATACACAGAGTTTCTTGACAAATTTAAAATCCCAATTAGACCCAGAGAATATGCCATTGTAATGGACGCTATACCCAGTAAGGTATTACGTCTTCTTAAAAATTAATGTAATGAAAACCCTAATCTGGATTATATAACTAATTACATTTTTATTGGAAATATTCATATTTTAAAAAACAACATACCATATATGCAAAGTTGCATTTCTCTTACTGTTATATATGTTCATATGCAATAAAAAAAAAAAATATATATATAAAAAATGTTCATTCTTTTCACACTCCATCACAGTGGGTGGCGATATGCACCTTTGAAGTTGGTTCGCAACTCGCCATTAAATCAAAAGAAGAAGAACCCTTGCTGCACATAGACATAATAAATACCATGTCTATGTTGCTGCAGTCTTACCGCACATTCCGGTGTCCTATACCTCTTCCGGTTCATTACACACACTCGATTTCAGAGGATCAAGATGTCTGGATTTCTGCGGGGAATCGCTCGTGTCCGTGCCGCTCCGGTTCTGCGGGGATCAGCCATCACCCAGCGAGCCAACATCACCACGCGCCCTGCCAAGGATACGTTTGGGCCCGTTGTGAGTATCTGTATAACGCTGGTTGTTTCCTCTGCAGCTCGTGAAGGGCAGGCAATGATCTCCTTGGCATTCACCTTTAGACTCACTGTGATGATCGGAAACATTATATACCGCCATAAAAGTCGGTTTAGTTTGAGTATAGCTCTAATCCAGGTGTTGATTACGAATAGATCATTTTTGTACTTTCGCATTCGTTTTGGACTGAAACGGTAGCTAAACCCTTCTCGGCCGGTCGCGGTTATATATAGAAGGTCGGGGTGTTGACAGGCGATAGATGGTGAACTGAATATCCATTTTTACGTTATTTCCACTTTTACTATAAAGAGTAAGTAAAATTAATTTAATACTCGTTTTAAAGGTAATTTTGTTTATGTTTTGAGCTATTTAGGAAACCGGGCATCACAGATAAACTTCCGCTAAGAAAAATAGTCCATTATTTACAACGCAGAAAACAACTGGTCTGTCAGTAAGACAATACTGCAACAACAGTTATGTATATCCTCAATGTTTCGGTTTATGCACATCTGCCAGCCAATGAAGTATTCATATTTTTTTCATTACAGTTTGTAGTCTCAGTAGCCGTTTTGAGTTGTACAGGTGCATCTCAAATTAGAATGTCATGGAAAAGTTCATTTCAGTAATTCAACTCAAATTGTGAAACTCGTGTATTAAATAAATTCAGTGCACACAGACTGAAGTAGTTTAAGTCTTTGGTTCTTTTAATTGTGTTGATTTTGGCTCACATTTAACAAAAACCCACCAATTCACTATCTCAACCAATTAGAATACTTCATAAGACCAATAAAAAAGCTCCAAACTTTTCCACGACATTCTAATTTATTGAGATGCACTTGTATATATGGCACCGATTAGCTTGTATTTATATCAAAAGAGACTGTGGAGTGATAGCAGAAATATTAAAGCACCTGTATGTTGCCATGAACGGTTAAATTAACCGGTTTTTAGCATCTACAGCTCTAACAGCTATTTGGTTCTTGTGTCTGTTTTCACAGGAGACAGTAATTGGTCTGACCACATTTTCTTTTACCATCCTGGGACCATCTGGGTGGATTCTGGCTAACCTGGAAAACTACAAAAAGAAGGACGCTGCTGAGTCTGAGTGATGCACTTGTCATGGACTGAACACAGTTTGTCTAGTTTTATTGCTTTTAACATGTTGGGACCACCATCTCACAGACCTCCAGCTTACCTAATCAGTGGAACAATTTGTCTCCTTTGAGCCACTCTGCTACCTCTCCATGCGACCGTTTACTTTCCTCCAGACACTCCGGTCTTTGTTACACTGAGCTGTTTGCTCCCTCTTACCAACTGTGTGATAATGTAATCATGGGTGATGCAATTCTCCTTACCTGGAGCTGTTACAGTTGAAATAAACCATTATTTAAATCTTATTCTTTGTCTCTCTGTTTTCCATTACTTTTTGACAATACTGGAAAAAGATATTGCTTTTCAGTAGCTTGTTATATGAGGCAAGGCACCTTAAGTGTCATCTTAAAACATATCAAGCAAAAATAAATACATCATACTGTGAAATTATTTTTTAAATAAAGGCTAAGTAGTTATACATGTGAGTGTGAAATAATAGGTTTGGCATTTTAAATCTTGTATACTAGCAATTCAGTGAATTAACTTTACTCAGTAACTCGGAAAGGCTTGTATATCAAATATAAGATTATTGATAGAATCTTGCACTTAATAAATATATTTGGTCTGATAAAATGTTATCACAGATAGTTCTCCAGAATGCGGTGTCAAACATACATGTCACGAGTTTTCAGTCATAAAAAAAGATTTAATGTAATCAAAAAAACTCCATAATTGGTGGCTGTTTGCAGTCCTCGCCTGCACATTTTTTTAATTGTCTCCTTTTAATACACCTGATTCAGATCATCACCTCATTTGGAAAGAATCCCGTTAACTGAACAGAGTGTCACATGGCATCATGATATAATTAACATTTTATTCAAATCTATAACATTTTGAATATTATTTAGCACATACAAATATAACTAGCGTTATTTCAGAAATATTTAACATTATTTAATGGTATGATGTATTTATTTTAGATCGATATATTAATTTGTTTTAAAATGACGCTTAGAAAATTAATTATCTATGAGAGTTTGTCACTGGTGACTTGCCTGGTTCGTGAAAAAAACGTTATTCTTAATTATTAATAATTATGTCAAAATGTATACTTACCATCAGCTTTTATGGGAGTAAACTGCACTCAATTCAAAACATGCACATTCACAAAGGCAATCATTTTTAGCTCATGTAAAACAAACAGTGATCATCAGGGTATTCAGCAGGTAAAAAATCTCAACCGGAAATGGGTTCATCTCCAGCCGTTCCACTCTATCAGGTGACCGGAAATAGCTGTTCAGCAGGAACATGGCGGAGGAGCAACAGCAGGAGATCTCTCAAAAAGAGGCTGACGGTGAGAATTACTTTACCGCTATTTGGCCAGAACCAACTTCTGTTTGTATCGGTTTGCACATGCGGATGTTGTTATGAGCTGATGGGATGAGCAGCTAGCGCTTTGCTAACCTGCTAACAACAATAGCTGAGATTTAATTGTTTATGTTTTAAAGCACTTCAGTTTCAGTGTCCAGATCTTTATAATATGCTATATAACGTTACGACCATTAGCGTTATATAAACATTTAATAAAAGAAAATGCTCCGAGGTGTGACACATAAGCGTTTTAAAAAACACTGCACTGTGAAACAAATGTAAAAATACCATTACACACGTAGTAACAGCAATAATAATGTTTATGACTGATCATGTACAATTATGGTTTTTACCTGTTGTCAAGTAATAGGCAAAATTGACGATATTTTGCACTTAATTGTGTTTGTTCTTTGACAGGGCTGAATTGTCTTGCATATGATGAAGCCATTATTGCACAGCAAGATAAGATTCAACAAGAGGTAATTGAGTCATAATTTTAATAATTTGTATTTTTATAATGTTCTGTGATGCTTTATACACGCGTTGGTTCTCTAGTAAAAAGTATTTCAACAGTGCACTCAACAGGTGAAGATTTTGCTTTGGTACAATACAAAGAAATGTATTAAAACCAGGGTTGTTATAATTAAGTAAAACGAAAACATATTTTATATTTTAAAAATTTCATTTTATTTTTCTCAGCTAGTTGCCAAGGAAACATTTCTCCTTTATTTTGTAAAAAAAAAAAATTGTATTAACTAAAACTAAAATAAAATTAATAAAAAATATATAGACATTTAAAAAAAAAAAAAATTCAAAATATGAATAAAACTGCAATAGTATTGGGATACTTAGATGTAATGAGTTAATGGAATTTATTTTTCAAAAGGTGTGGGAACCGTGGTTATTTCTGGCATTTAAGCCTCATATACATGCATTTTATATATGCACATGGTGCTCATTAAGTTTCACTCTTTAACCCATCCTGAATGTCATTGTAGATAGCAACCAGTATTCCTCTGGTGTCAGAAAGACAGGTCCTGTCTGTCCTTAAGCGAGATTATGCTGACGATGACACCATTTACCAGCAGAAGATAAGAGTAAGTGAACCGTTTCAATAGTGCATGAATGTTTATGGAATGCTATGCATTAATTATTATTAATATGCACTTATCTTTTATCTCAGTTATCTAATCACATACCCTAGATATAAGAGAGCATATAATGTTCATTTATGCACAAATATATTCAAGCAGAGAAATCCCAATCTCTGACTTATTTTTTTTAACAAATCAAACTGTTTTGTCAACAGGACTTGCAGAAGAAGTACTCATCTATACGCAAAACACGGCCAGATGGGAACTGTTTCTACAGAGCTTTTGGTTTCTCACATCTGGAGTCTTTACTTGAAGACAGCAAAGAATTACATAGGTAACCACCTGCCAGCTTACATTCAGCCGAATAAACATTGTTTATTCATTTGGTTGAATAAATGATTCCCACTCTACAAAACTGGATATTAAACATTAAATATGTTCTTAACAACACTGATTGTTTTACATCATGCACCGTTTTCAATTTCAGTGTGGACAGATAAACTACTTGTTGTGTCAAGCCTGTTAAGATCATTTACATGAACGTATGGGGAGAAGATAATGGTCTGAAGTAGCTTCTGTAACCTTGAGTACATTCCTCTAAGACTCTGTTTGGTTGTGTTTACTTGGCAGGTTCAAGGCTATTGCTGCCAAGAGTAAACAGGATCTGGTGAGCCAAGGTTTCACAGAATTCACCATTGAAGATTTTCACAACACAGTAAGTCTTTGGAAGAATATGAACTAAGGCTGATGATACACTGGGCAACTTTTTGAGCAATGTTGCCATCAACGGGCAACCAGGTGAGACACAGGGCCCACGATCCATCTAAAATATCCAGATAGAAATGTGTTACCCATTCTCAACGGGAAAGTGCTAGGGCTGTGAATCTTTGGGTAGACAGCGAATCGATTGGATTCACGATTCATAGGTTTTCAATTCGATTCAAGAACGATTTTTGCAAATTCAGAATGATTCGATTCGATTAACGATTCGATACTGCATTCTTTAAGTGCATTCACAGGATTATTTAAATGCTTCCCCTAAATTCTTTAAATGCTTAGTCAGGGGGCAAATTACACAGCAGCCTTTATGGTTAGAGA